TAACATTATTAATTATCTTTCTTAATTAACTATAATAACTGTGATATAACTATAATATAATTAAATAAGAAAAATATTTCCCATATTTAATACTGGGGATACAGTTATTAACAAATTCATTAACAAGTAAATAAAATATATACAACAATTCATAAACATTTTTATAAGAATAATGATTCTTATTAAACATGATATAGGTTCATGGCTCTATATATGTAATTAAATTATTTACAAGAATTACATATGCAATCAAGATTTTAAAATTGAGACTATTTATATAATATAGTAACATTCATTAACTAAATCTATCATATTTTAAGCCGAGATCCTGTAATTACTTATTTGGTCATTTCAGTAGCAGGTTTTATCCCAATACCCAATAGAGGTTTAAGCGACATCGAGCAGGATCCCTAAATGGATGGGAGACTGGTTTTAGAAACATGCGATGATATGAGATAAAAAATGTTTTACTTTCTCTTATTTTTTTCAGTTTTTCATTTGTTTTTCATTTATTTTCTGTAAAGGTATTTTATGTCACATATATTATAGATTTTCAATACTAGCAGTCAATATCGGAATGCAACCATAATCTTGTCATAAATATGCATAATTTGATCTGTTCATACATAATCATAAACAATTTTATCTATTTATATATAATTAGATTAGGTCAACATTACATATATAATTTACATACATAATTACATACATATATAATTAGATCTACAAAATTATATATAATTATATATAATTAGGTATAAACTTTTTTCTGGGGCAGTTTATTTCTATATTAATTTTCTATATTTTATAGATTTGGAAATCTTTTTTCAATTAAAGTTTATGCATTAATATGTGCCTAATATATGATTTCAAAAACATGAAATACTTTTTTAATTTAGTTTCTTTTAGTACTTTAATTATTTAGTACTTTAATATGGTATGTAGAACTGTTAAGTCACATCGATTACTTTATATAATTTTGCAGCCTGTATCTATAAAACTGATATTACAAACAAACTATGTTCTGCATGTAAACTAGAAGACTACATGCAGAAACAACATTGAGTTCTTAGAATTAGGTTACATTTAGATACCTAATGTGATACAAAAAAGTGACATAAAAATATGTTTATATATATAGAAATGTATATATTTATATCTAAATGTTTCTATGTATGTTAAATATGTACAGATGTGTATATGCTTTCATCAGAATTCATCTCTTTAGCATCATCTTAAATCTTTAATTAGACTAATATAAAAGATATGTCTCTAATACCTGATCCCAACATAGATTTACTTTAATCTCGGTTTAACTTGCTCTTCATCTTTTTCTAATTCTTAAAATAAACTGAGACTAAACTTAATCTATGGTGGTGGAATCAGGCATTAGATTTTTATTTAACAACATATCTCAAGGAAATCATTTCTGGACAATTGTGATAGGCTCCTTGCAGCTTATTTTATTAAGATGTTAAGTTAGTAATGTTATTATAAGAAAATAGTAAATCATTTACTATAAGTCAGAAAGTTTTGTCAAAAGAATAATTGAAAAAAAGTCAAGGAATATTTTTTCTATAACAATTATGTACATGAACTCTAAAGTAACATTAAGGATTTTAAGAAATGATTTAAGAAATATAAATTTTTTGCTTGCATTTTAGATATGTGCAAGACACATACAAAATTCACATGAAGATGTTGATAATTATTACCGGAATGTGATACAAACATTTATAGAGGAAGCTCTTAATCTTTCTCAATTTCTAGAGAAAATAGTTGTTGACAAACAAGATTTGATTAGTCCATGTAATATTGATCGTAGTTCGACTTCACTGCAAAATATTGACACATTAGATTTCAATGATTGGGTAAGTTTTCCTGATTAATTAAAAACTTTATCGTGTAAGTATTTCAAAAAACTGTTGATAGCCTATTAAAAAATCCATGGTAAGAAAAATATCGTCAATTTTCTGTCTTGAAGAATACATTTGCTTGCCTATTTTCTTCAAGAAAGAAACAAATGTATAAAATGTATGAAAGCAACATAAATGACTTGTTGTTTATAATAATTACATATAGCTTTTAAGATCTATTGACTGTTGACTATTTATTTTTGTAGACGGACATTAGAATTTGGAGGGCTATACAAGTACGTTTATACCAATAATATTACTATTATTTGTTTTATTTGTAATTATTAACTTCAATTTTAAGTAGTATATCTCTCTTCTATAATTAATGATATAAATACTATGTATTGAGCATGATAAATGTTAATGTTGCATGCAGCATAATAATTGAATTTACATTAATATTTATATAAATGATTTATGAAAACAAAAAATTATTTTATATTACTAAAATTTTATTTATCTTTTAAAGAGCATGGTTAATTAACAGGGGCTTGAGCCATGCTTGATGTAATCTCTCCTGTCGCGCTTCAGGAGGATTATTTGTATATTTGCCAATGGCGTTGGAGGGTGTCGCCGCTACAGTCCGACCTCCATTTATCGAGAGAATAGGACCATCATCTCTCTGGAATATCGGTCGTGGGGATTCGAGAGAATACATGTATATATGTATATTGTAATATACGTATATATGTGTATCATTATATTGTTGACGTGTTATTTGCGATAAATATCATCACATGCCTCGGTAGTCGAAAGGACAAGATGCCTGTCCGGTAAGTAGGAGATTCAGGTTCGATTCCTGGCTGAGGTGGTATTTTTCGCAAAATAATTATGAGTTTTCACGACTGGTTCGTGGGGGACTGGTCGGGCCTCGCCGTGACGCACACCCTCCCTTCTTTTTATTAATTAACTATGCAAAAGAAAGATAGTTATAGAAATTTATTATTAATCTGATAATGAAAAAGATATTAGATATTATATAAAGATCAAAAGATATAAAGATTTTATAAAATATTACTTTTTACTGCTATTTTTTATTAAATATTATCTTGTTTTAACATACAAAGATACTCTACTATATTATAATATAAACACAAACACATATTTTAAACAAGTATATGTCTATTGTAACATCAAAATATTTTCAATTATATTATCAGGCTAGATTTTGGGTTCAAGTTATTAGCGAACTGAGACGAGGAGTCAAATTGAAAAAAGTAGAAGCTAACATGAGCTCTCGTACATTATCGCGCGAACAAGGAAGTCTTCCAGACTATAAGTTAACACCATATGAGAGTTTAATGAATGACATTAGAGAAAGACGATATCATCTCAGAAAAACACCACCTACGCCATCAAGGAAGGACGCTCATGCTATCATTCTTGAATTTATTCGGAGTCGACCACCTTTGAAAAAGGCAAGATTTGTGAACATACACAAATATGATGCAAGTAAATTAAATCTAAGCAACTTATATTTATATTCTGCTTATTTAATTATCAGTCTGACACAATATACAGCATTGGAAAATTACATTTTAAAATTAACTCGTCAAATGAAAAAACAGTTGTTGTTATTGATTCTGAAAAACAAGTAGTTACCATTACCCAAGAAATAATGAATCGTTATTTATTCAATTGTCAAATTTACTAGGATGAGTTAGAAATAAAAAAAAATACATTCGTAATGCTTTTGTTAGAAACTATTAATAGAAACAATAAGAAAATTTTTGGAAAACCATAAAAGACTTTTAAAAGCTTTCAAGTATTGTTGAATATAAATATTTGCTTATATATGATATTGGAAGATTCAAATCACCTCCAAAATTTAAAGAAATAAACAGAATTAAAATAAAATTAAAGTTATAATATCCAAAAAAATTTAATTTTTTTATTCAAATTAAAAATATGGAGATATTCTATTTTAGATTTCGCTTTAAAATATTCGCCAAAGCAATTCAATGCAAAAAATTGCTATTTATATGTTAACAAAATTAATAAACTTTTTACCTCTTACCTCACTGAAAAAAAAATTCTGGATATGTTTGAAGTATAATGTGCGGGCGCGCGCGCGCGGGCGCGTGTGTGTGTGTACACACATATACATATATACAATTTTTAATACAAATTTTATACATTATTACAATCATTTGAGTTGACAATGTGGAAACAAAATTTTCTTTTTTAAAGAATTAAGGCTAGTATAATTAAGACTAATATCATTAAGGCTATTATCTATTTGGGTCAAAATAGGAAGATTTTTCATTGAAAATTCAAATTTTTTTTTATACATGCATAGTGTTTTATCAGGAGACAGGTGATGTCTCGGGTGTCAAGTCAACCAAGAACATTACCGTGTGACTTTAGACGAGTCGGCGAGATGCAAGCGCCCGAGATTATCAGATATCATTAACGGTTGAATCGATCAAGTTCTAAGTAGGTTCAATTGATAGTTTGGATATGATTTGTATGACAAAAGTGATTTTATTTTTTTTTCCTATGTACTCTACGAGCAGAGATATTAAGAATCAAAGTCCAATCTGGAAATTTTTACTTAAGAAACGTCATTGTCGTCGTTGTCGTCGCCTTTGTACGGTTGCAATTTTTGTCGCGAGATGTCATTTAATCTTATCATATTAATCTTATCAATCCAGCGGATCATTAGACTGATAAGTCAGGGTCACTGTAGAATTGTGTGTAGGATTTTGCGAATCAATATTTAGCTTTAAAGCTAAATAATTACTAATACTTGGATTAGAAAAAGAAGAGTCTTAAATGGACAGAAAGATATATAATATAACATATAATTTGGTTTTTATTATTTTTAAATTAAAGATGCTACTACTTGGATTTTATTTTTTTTTAAATTTTATTTTTTTAAAATAGTGGTATATCAAATCTTTTATATAATTGAAATACATAATTTGACTAAGGTAGACATGTAGCTCAATGTTTATAGGACTATAACTTGGCGCCAATTGATATCAAATCAATCAATCTTTTATACAAATTTTACACATTATTACAATCATTTGAATTGACAATGTGGAAATAAAATTTTCTTTTTTAAAGAATTAAGGCTAATATAATTAAGGCTAATATCATTAAGGTTATTATCATTTGGGTCAGAATAGGAAGATTTTTTATTGAAAATTCAAATTTTTTTTAAAGAATTAAAACTACTACCGCGTAGGTTAGAAAAACTCTTCAATGAAATTACAAAGATACATACCACTTAGGTTTTATTTTCTTAAAATAAAAGATATTGCCAGCTAGATTTTATTTTTTAATACATATCACTTGGGTTTAGTAGAATAACGCAATTTTTAGTAGAATTATACTTGGCACAATTATTGATATTAAATCTTTTATACAAATGATATTATTTGAGTCGAGTTGGCTATGTGAAAACAAATTTTTTTTGTTTTTTAATTAAAGCTAGTACCATTTGAGTTAGAATAGAAAGATTCTTCAATGAATACAAAGATCACAATACTATATAATAGATACTATATAATAGATACTATATAATAGATACACAATACTATATAATAGATACTATATAATAGATACTAGTACTTACCTTTTATTTTTTAGTTTGATCACAGCTAAAATTGAGTTAGATATGGCAGTTTCGTAATATAATTTTTTTTTAAATTAAAACTATCATATGGGTTAGAGTAAAAAGATTCTTCAATGAAGATACAGAGATACGTACCACTCAGATTCTATTTTTTAAAATAAAAGATATTGTCAATTAGATTCTATTTTTTAACTTAGCACAATGGTTTCTTCTTTTTTCAAGCGTCCATTATACTTGACATCCCTTTTTTATCTTTTTTGAAAAGGTTATTTATACGTAAGATAATGTAAATAATGTAAATAAAAGTTTGATTTTGATTATATATATATCATAAATATAATCAAATTATATTCATTTATTATATATATTATATTATATTCATAAATATAATCAAATTTACATGTTTTAGCTGATTATAAAATTATATAATAACGATTATATCATTGAATTTATTTTTCCTATGATGTTGATATAATCTTTGTTACTAGTGTTACTTTAAATGAAATTAACATACTAACTTTTCATAACTTTTTCATTATTTTGGTTTGATATCAATAATATTATATTTAATATCAATTATATTATATTTTAATGAAATGACTTAGATATTGTAACATGATTATAAAACTATAAATTTATTAGGAAAGATATGTGATACTCTGTAACATTCGAAAAAATTATTAGAGATGGGGATAACAAGATATATTCAAGTGGAATGAAAATTTAATTAAAAGAATCAACAAAACAAAAGATGCTAAATAAACATATCTTTGAAAATAAAAACATTACTAACAAGGAGAACATCAAAGATTGTTCTTTCGGATTTTATCGAGTTTGAAGTGCGTTGTATTATGTTTACACTCTAATATATGATAAAGTTATTTGATGCAACTTTCAAGAATTTGCGAGAAAATCGAGTTTGAAGTTTTTATATAAATTTTATAATTCAAGTTTACAACATTTTTAGATAGAATAAGGACACAATAGAGTAAGGATGCATAAGGCACTTTATTGCTACGCATAGTGTATCAAAAGACCAAAAAAACTGGTTTGAAGTTATAGCATTGAAAGAAAAAATATGCCATCATCATTGAGACATGTTAATATACATATAAAACCATTTTTATACAGGATGTCTCAAAAAGATCCCTCGAGATCCTTGAATATCTAAAAAAATAGAAATGTTACAATAAATTGTTTCGAAAATTGTAAGTTTTAAAAAGATTTATTTACTAATCTTATCAGTTTGACTTGAGGTGGCGTCGCCAAGGTCAGGTCAAGGTCATATTGATTTTTTAAAATGGAATTCCCTATTTTTGCATATTCTAGCTTATCTTGAGAACTTTTCAAAATACTATAATGTATTTCTTTATTAAATATTTTTTGAGTTATGAAACTTGAATTTGATATGCAATTTGACATAAAATATAAAATATCTCATAAATTATTTATTTTTTGAAATGAAATTTTTTGAGATATTTGAATGAACCATATCTTAATACTTTTATGCACAAAATAATGAGATGAATCAATTGGTGTAAAGAAAATACATAGTTATTTTTTTAAAAAGATATATTGTTGGATATTGCAAATTTTCATTTTTTTTTTAAATGATAACTATGTATATTCTTTATATCAATTGATTCATTTCATTATTCTGCATAAAAGTTTTTAAGATATAGATGCTAAAAAATGAATAGAAATATTTTATGTTTTATGTCAAATTGCATATCAAATTCAAATCTTTTAACTCAGAAAACACTTAATAGAAAAATATTATTATAGTATTTTGAAAAAACTACAAGAATATGCAATAAAGAAGGGAATTCCATTTAAAAAAATTGATGTGACTTTGACCTGACTTTGGCAACGCCATCCGAGATCAAACAGATAAGATCAGTAAATCAGTGAATCTTTTTAAATCCTACAACTTTTATTCGAAACACTTTTCTATTAAATTTATATTTTTTTGAGATATTTTAGGTTCTCAACACCCTGTGATATTGATCAATTATTATTTCATTAATACAATCCGAATTTAAAAATATGAATATCATAGCAGTAGTAGCGATTACTTTGTGTTAGTTAATAGTTTAAAGTATATTACATAATATTTTATGCACTCAGATTTAAAAAAAGTTAATTTTAAATGTTCCTTAAGGATATTTTAAGTCTGCAGCAATAAGCTTCTAATTTTTAAACATATTTTTATTTTGATAATATTTTGTATTTTATGTTTATATTCTCTGTTAAAATCTTTCACTCCAATATAAAACATATTTTATTCATTTTCTAAGAATTTTCTAAGAATTTTCTAAGAATTTTCTAAGAATTTTCTAAGAATTTTTATATATACAAAGCCATTATCTAATTACTGTTCCACGCAAGCTTTGCTGTACATGAATCTAACAATGAAATATTCTTATTTTTTGATAATATATAAGGTCTTTATTAATTCGAAAAGAAAACCATTTGTTATTATCTTGTTCAGGCTTCAGAGAGACGACTACGACCATTACAGAAGGAAAGTACCTTAAGAGAATTACTCATGGAAAGCATAAAGAAGCCTCCAAAACCTTTAAGATCTTCTGGTTGGAAACAAAATGCTTCCAAGATTGAAGAAATGTCAATTTGTAAGTTTGCTCATTTTATGTGTATGTAATTGATAACACCAATTGATTACAACAATAATACTGCTTTATTAAATTTTATATTATACAATTATTGGAATTTGTTATGTTGTATATATGTATGCGTGACGCGTATATGTGTTTGTATATGTACATCTACGTGTGCATATACGTATATGTGTATGCACACACGCGTGTATTATATATGTGTGTTATAACATAAATTTTTTTACAATAATTATAAAGATAACAGAAAGTTTGATAGTAAAATTTGTATTTAATAATCAGGAGACACAGTAGTGTCTCAGGTGTCAACGAAGAATACTACCGTGAGAACACTACTTTACGCGAATCGGTGAGATGCGAACATCCGAAATTATTGGACCTCAATAATCGGATCTCAAGCTCTAAATAGGCTTGATCAGTAGTTTGAGTTTGACTTATATAATAAATGTATTTTTATTTTTCTATTACTCTACGAGCGGAGATATTGTTACGCAAAATTCGATTTAGAAATTTTTACCTTAAGAAACGTCGTTATTATCGTCACTCATGTACGGTTGCAATTTCTGTCACGAGAGGCGCTACTGAGCCTAAGTAAATCCAATGGACACTGTCCGTCAATGATTTGCTCGATCTTACAGTAGTTCTGACTTATCGGCCTGATTTATCCGTCGAGTCGATAATCCGTAGAGTCGATAAGATAATGACTTTCACTTTAAAAAATGAATAATTTGAAATATTTTACAACAGTTAGAAAATTATATACTATATGTCTAAAGAGTAAGGATACTCGGAGGATTAAAATAATGAATGTTTTAATAATTTATGATAATAGCACCATATTGTAACATGTTTGCAATAGCTGAAATACCTTCTGGTATTATAAATTTGTTATCCAGTAAAGATAGTTAAATATGAAGATATTTATCAAAAAATAGTACCACAATTAAATCCGTTGTTTTCTTTAATGAAATATATTATACACCTTCTTAAATAACTTCTTCTTTAAAAACATCATATACTAATATTTGTCTGTGCTAAGTATATATATCTACTTCGCAACTAACTGTTAATAATTTTTGTCACATTTGTAATATTTTCTTGGCGTAAATTATTAAAAAATTTTTGCTGTGTATGGTATAAAAAAAGAATTGAATTTAATTAAATCATTTGCTTTAAACAATGACGGATAAGTTAATCAATTAATATTTATTTTATCAATATAGATTAGCTTTAATCTCGGTGTACTTTTTATGTTTTTAATTCTATCTTGCATATTTTATTCTGCACGTTTATACTTAAATGTATATAAATAAAATGTTCTAGATGACGGAAAGGACAACAAACATGTTATGTCATCATCCTGTATCATCCTATCGAGTATTTTTTTTGTACAATTACTTGCAATCATAATTCATGTACTTTTAAATGTTTCTAGATTACTACTAATATGTCCCTTTCGATAAGCGCGTATTTATCATTATTAATCTTATCGATTCAGCGGATCATCAGACCGATAAGTCAAAGTTATTGTAGGATCTAGCGAATCATTGGCGGGCAGAGTACAATATGTTTCGTGTAAAATTGGTTATGTATCTCTAACTACAGTCTCTACTCCTTATATTATTAATTCTGATTGATTGATAATAAATATGCATAACAAGAGTAAGAAAATAGAAAACAAAAGAAGAAGAGAACGAGA